TACTTGAATTTGAACATTGTTTCTGAATCCTTACTAGAGGTCTACAATTTCCTCTGAAACTAATGGAGGTTTTCGTGGATTAGTTATATTCTTAGAGCAAATAAAAACATATGTAGCTTTTTACTCCTGCGATGTGTGGCAGTAAACATCACGGTATACATTTCTCTTATCCAGACGATCTGTTTTTCCCAGTCTTATTTTTCACAGTCACTTTCCATAAGTCTAAGTTTTCTTTTATAATCCCTTTAAATACTTAATAATAGTTAAGAATAAATATGTATTTTTTAAAATATAAATATTTATTTAAATATAAAAACATATTTAAATATACTTTTGCATAAATATACTTTTATTTAAATATAAAAGCATTCAGTGATCCCTTAAATATTTAATAATATCCAAGCTTCTTGTCCTGCTCCTCAGTAGGAGTAGTGAAGCTTGACTAGGTTCTTTAAGCCACCCAAAATACTCAAAGATGCACACTGCTAAGTGTGCTTTATCTAGTTGATTTTAAGCTATTCAGATATTTCCCCTACTTTGTTTCTTCTACTTTGGGAGCCTCTTATACTGTTTAAGTGATGACAATTTTAAGAAATTTTAACTCCTGTTCTGAACTTTACCTTGTTCAGTTTTATCCTTTGTTGCATAGTCATATTTTCTTCAGTGCAGTTCCTTGATGCTCTGGTTTAGATAACAATGACTTGTTGGAAACGAAAAGACAAATGCTCTCTCTTTTCCTTAGGCCGAAATGGAGCTAGTGAAATGGGGTTTTGATGCAGCATCCATTGAGCAACAAATCAGTGACCACAGAAGAACTCACAATGCCATTGGAGACTATCGCTGGCACCTGGACAAAGTCAAAACAGATCTGGTAATATTTACTGTGTTCCCTTACATGTTGCTTAGTTTAAATCCATAACCTTGGCTTACCAGTGTTCCACTGCCACGAGAAATGCTGAATAGCTCAGCTTCTCTTCAGAAAGCATAGGTGTCATGATGGCAACTGCTTTCAAGCCTGGTACGCTACTATTTCATGATGGTTTTGTGTGCCCCTTCTTTCCCCAAAATCTTGAAATGAAAATTTAATGTCTATGTAACGTTTCATTGCTGCGTACAAAGACTGGCAAATAAATCTGGTGACATTCTTGGTGGGAAAGATGGCTAAGAGTGATTATTCTCATTTTCTGTCTAGGTATGCTAAAACAACAAAGTGGAAGGATAAGGTGGGTGGTTAGATACAGCCTTGAGTGATGAAGGGATTTCTGTAAGAAATGCCTACACTCTGGGCTAAGGTTAGAGCTTTTTTTGTTCTTGTTTTTGTTTTCCACTGCGGCTTGTGGTCCCTTCTGGGTTTTGTGATTGGAATAAAGAAGCTGCTGAAAACGCGGTGGTTAGCTCCCTGTGCTATTAGCTCTGCAAGTAGGGATATGGGAGAGAAAGCTCACTTTGTTTCCGTTCTTCTCTTCTGTTAGTTGCTCGTATGGGCAAGAGGTAAAAGTTGAGTCTAAAGAAACGGGACTCAGCTCTGGAGCTCTGATCTTTCAGCCAAGCTGAAGAATGGAAGGGATGCTACTTCCTTTTTTCCTTCTGCTTGATCAAGTAGGAAAAGTAGTGGTCTAGCCCTGGAATTTTTTTTTTCAGATCATAGATCATACTACTTCACCATGTCTCAAGCTAGATCTGGGACTAGTTGGTTCTCTGCAGTTGTCTAGGAGTTCAGTACAGAAAGAGATCCAGTTTCAGGGGCTGTTTCTGTGGTACAGGGGTTATGTACAGCCTTGCTTTTGTACTTAATATTGCTGGGGGAAATAAGTTGGTCCAAGCCTTGTTTTTATACTTTTGGTGATCTTCCAACAGCACAGAGCAGCTATTTCCCTATATCCCTTGGAGGCATTTTCAAATTACCACCTAAAGTAGTAACATCATGGTACTGACACTGTAGAGGAACATAAGCAGTCAGAAACTTTGAAGAGGCACACTAAATATCTACTGTCTCTGTTTCAGCGTGAGAAGGCTGCAGTTCATCAGCTGGAAGAAGAATATGAAGGGCTGCTGGTGAGCTCAAGATGTCTTCATATCTCATACCCTCTGAGGAGTGCTTTCTTTGCTTGGCTGACAGTGATCTCTTAGTCAAGGAACATTTTAGGTTTCACTAGAGTAATAGTTGCATATTTAAGTAATTCTGTCCAGCAGTAAACTGGCAGTGTTTTGTGGTTAATATAAGGCTCAGTTTGAGTCAAGAACTTGAGATTAAGTCATTACTTGTTGTAAAATTGACTTATCCTCAAAAGTAAGGCTCTAGTTTGCCCCTGAGGAAGGGGGTTGGTCACTAAGCAGATGAAAAATAGAACTCTACCTCTTCAATGGGAGTAAATTTAGCAGTGAAGTTAGGCTATATAAGAAGCTTAAAAAATCACATTCAAAGCTGGGATGAAAACCGAATTCTTTGTAGGGTTGTGCATCCACATTGGGTCTTCATGTAAAATGCAGTGAGAACCTTACACAAAACATAAAAAGACTTAACCCTTGGGATTGGAAGCTGATCCCTGTGCACATTTCAAGTAACAGGAAGTGTGTTAGATTTGAGGATAGAAGGAATCTTGTCATGAAGAGTGTCTTTTGTGCAAAAGGTGCTACTACATCAAGTATATACTGTCAGCAGCAAATGCTAGTAGAAGTCAGATTACACCATGTCATTTTACTTGCTGGCTTTACATGTCTGCTGCATTTGTGTTTGAAATGAGTACTTTCAGAAGCTTATGAGTTTAGGTTCCTATTGTTTCATAAATCCGGGCATGTTATCCACTGTCCATTGCCAGGTTTCATAGTGGTATGTTTTTTGCTGTTAGTTTAAACAAAATTTATGTGCTGTGCTTTTGACTTCTCCCTCTCTCCCACACATGGGCTTTTCTGTGTTTATTGCTTCTCATTTCTGGAATTCCTTGCAGAAACACTCCTTTGAGAGAATGGATCAGCTCCGTCAGTTCCAGAACCTCATCCAAGCCACTAGCAGAGAGATCATGTGGATCAATGACTGTGAGGAAGAGGAGCTTCTCTATGACTGGAGTGACAGGAACACCGACATTGCCCGGAAGCAGGAGGCCTTCTCTGTAAGAGAGCCCTTCTTTCCATGGGCTCCCTTTTAGCACAGTGAGGCTGATCATGGGATGGGTATTTCGCTCTTTTCTAAGTTTCTGGGGATTTTTATCAACGCTTTGGAGTAAGTACTGTGTGACAACCTTTTGAATCAAAGATTGGATACCTGGTTGTCATGGTTCCTTTTAAGCTTAGAAACTGACCTTTTCAGTACAATTCACTAATAATCATGCATGCACTTGGGCACACAGCCCTTATATTGGCATGTTATGCTAAGGGACTTGAGTCAAGCAATTTCATTCTCCCTGTTAGGACTTTGTAGGGAATGGGGGGGTCTCCATATCTGGCCCTGATCTCTGTCACCAGGAGGTAAAGGTATACCAGAGAGAGCTGCTCTCTCTTCTTCTGATGGTCTTGCAAGCAGCACAGTGAGAGTACTGTCAGAGGTGTTTTACACTGCTGCTTCCTGTTTTCTGTGAGTACCTAGGCAAATTGAGCCCTGTATGTTCCTATAGCCCATGTCAGTGCCAGTCACCAAGTTAAAAAAGCAGTGACAGTTCACATCATTGAGGAGACACTTTTGCGTAGTTCTCTTGTTTTGGATGTTGCTTCCATCAATCCTCTTTGACAGGAAGGGTTACATTTTGGATGCTCTCTGTAAGTGGCAAGCCTAGAGAGCAGAACTGGAATGTTTGTACCTTTTTGATGCTACTGTCTTCATATTTAGCTTTAGTACACTGGATAGAATTAATACTTAATGTTAGCAGGGATAATTTTGCACAATCCTAACTGGGAAGTTTCAATTAAACCGTCCTATGTAATTTACCTTTGGGGGGTTGTTTACTGCTGTGCTTTGGTTGTTTAGAAACGCATGAGTGAGTTGGAGCTTAAAGAAAAAGAACTCAACAAGCTAAAGCAAGAAAGTGACCAGCTAGTGCTCAGCCAGCACCCTGCTTCAGACAAAATTGAGGTGAGTTAGATTTCATATGATTTATCTTCACCTTTTAGTTGTTATATGAGAAAAGTTCTCAGTGAATGTCTGTAAACGAAATGCCACATTTGGACCTGGAGAAGGGCTTGTGTGCCAGAAAGCATGTCTCTCTTTTTTTCCAGCTATATCGACTGATCTAATAAATGCTTCTACCTTCTCCTACAAATCTGGCCACTAGTACTGCAGATTTCTTAACAGCTCAGGGGAAGCTCCCGTTTAGACAGCTTATGCAGTTGTCTAAATGTATTCAGATTGCTCTGTCTCCTGTGAGTTGACTTTAGTGCAGCAGAATTAATGATAGGAAGGCACCTCATTCTTGTTCTTCTGCTTTCTTAGCAGGTGTGTTTTGAAGATAGCCACACCCTTTGCTGAGGGTTTATATTTAATCCAAGTGCAAATACTTTCTGCAACGGAAATTTATGCTGCTTTTCTGCAGCTTAGCCAAGATGGTTTTGCTTTCACAGCTTGGTATACATTTACCCTTCCATTATAAAGGCTGGATCACTTTGAAAAATCTCCTTTTATTAGAAAATGCTATAATTATAGTTTCAAGGATGTGTAAGAACTCTGAAACTGAAAGAAGTTAATAGGAAAAAAAATGACTCGTCTCTGATTTTCAGGATATTTACTTAGTCATCTGGTATCATGTTGTGTAAAATCACTATTCATAATTTTCTCTGTGGTCAGTGTCTGCCCTAAAGAAAAGATCCTTGTAAGCTCCAGCAGTGAAGTAAAAAGTCGTGTGTAATTTTTTTTAAGGCTATACATGAGGGCTACATGAGAAGTTTAAATTTAAAAGTAGTCATAATAAACAACCATGCTTGACAGTGACTCTTGGAGAAGGAGAACGCACAATTTGCAATTGAAATACTTTGCTTTCGCTACTGTTTGTGCTTTTTACTCTCCCGCTCATACCCGTTTGTTCATGCACTTCAGGCTTTATGCTGATGAAGCAAAATTCAAATCATGAACAGGTTTCTCTCTGCATCCAACAAACAGATATTTAACTCTCTTCAGTCAGGTAGATGTTGACAAGTCATGGAATTATATGCATGAGTTATATTTTTCTGGTGTGCATGAATTTCTTGTAGCAGATCTTTCATTTGCATATATGTGGAGCATAAATAATTGTGCTTGAGTCTAGTCACGGGAGAGAGATCAGGGTGATGGTTACAGTTCTTTATTTTGTTATTTTTGTTAGGCCTATATGGATACACTACAAACTCAGTGGAGCTGGATTCTTCAGATCACCAAATGCATTGATGTTCATCTAAAAGAGAATGCAGCATACTTTCAGGTGAGTAGCAATGTAGATATCTTTGAATTATGCAAGTGTTAGACAAGTAGCTGTGCATAAATTATTACTTTAATCAAAAACTTCATGTCCTGGTAGCATTTACAACATTTAAACATTTGAACGTTTTTTAAAAATTCACGTGTTTCAAAAAGCTCCTTTCATTTGCTAGCAATGTTGAGTAACAAAAAAAAAACGTGTTTGCTGTTTTCCACACGGAAGAATTTTCAGAGCTGTCATCATGTCTTTTGCTTAAGAAAGAGCTTCAGAATTTGGTTTACAGACTGTGAGTATGATCAGCAGTTCATAGCAGATGTCATATCCCTCATTGCTTTTGTTAAAATGTGAATCCCATCGCTGGATAACTGAAAGGTATTTTTTCTGTACCAAAATCTTCCAAAATTTGTGCACAATTATACCTAGCACAATGTTACCTTACTGTTGTAAATGTTGCCATTCTCCCAGATGCAAACTGCAATTTCTCATGAAAGGAATCCATTGATTTTAGTGGACTTGTTTGTGAGAGAAGAGTACAATTGAAACCACAACTTTTCTCCTGTAGTTTTTTGAAGAGGCCCAAGCCACGGAAAGCTACTTGAAGAACTTGCAAGATTCTATCAGGAAGAAGTTCATCTGTGATAAGAGCATGTCGCTACAAACCTTGCTGGAACAGATCAAAGAACTGGAGGTACTGTTACACCCAACTCGCAGGTTACCTTTTGACTTCCATGGAAATCAGTCGCCAAACTGTTACTCTCCTCAGATACCAAATGCAAATGTAGTTTCACTGTAATGATTATATACAGTACTGGAGAGAACTTGAAACGATAGTGCTATATTAATGCCCATTTCTGGGGAATTTCTGCCTATAAATGGGTCAGTGTTGTCATTTTGCTTTGGGTAATACTGTTTGGGACCTGTACTGATGTCTTTTTCAGTCTGAAATGAGCCTGACAAAGTCACAAGTTTCTAACGTGCTAACAAGTTAAAAAAACAAAATACTTCAGTTCATAGGTGCGAGGACAGATTTCTCCTGAAAGGATAAGTATGTTTAATAGATGATAAAATGACATGACGGATATCACAGTTGTCTCTTTGAAAGAACTTAACTCTTATAGCTGAGTTAACTATTTGCTCATCACGAGTCAGCTCCGGCAATTTTGAATTGCATCTGCTTGAGGAAGAATGGTCAGTTATGTAAAAGGGCAGTTGATGAAGTCAAGGCTGCAAGTATAGTTGTTAGTAGTTTCTGTAGCATTCGTGCTGTAACAGATTTCTTTCCATTTATTCATGTGTCTCTTACCTCACTTTAAGCACATCATAGATCTGGAAGAAAACCAGCACCTTGTTAGAGTTGCACAGACACTTAGTGTGATGTTTCTCCTCTCTTTTTTGAAGTGGCAGTTTTACAGTATAGTCCGAAGACTCATCCTACTGGAGCCAAAGGAAATTTTACTTGCAGAGAGCTCGAGATGTATTTCTCTCTTGATTCAACTTTGGGAACTGGATGTGGTTTCTTTTTAGAGTGAAGTTTTAACGTACAGTTAACCTTTGCAGAATGAACGAGAGAGAATTCTTGAATACAAGAGGCAAGTGCAGAGTTTGGTGAATAAGTCCAAGAAGATTGTGCAGCTGAAACCACGTAACCCAGACTACCGGAGTAACAAGCCCATTATCCTCAAAGCTCTGTGTGACTACAAACAGGATCTGGTAGTGTATCCCTTTTTGATTGAGAATGAACATCATGTAAACTAGAACATGGCAAATGATTTTGTAAACAAACTGTTGAACTGATAGGTTTAACCCCTTTGTATGGTTTTAGTCAGCGTTTTCATTTCTTCAGCAAAAAAGCTCTGACGTTCGCTCAATTCAAAATAAACGGGAGATGTTCTGGTTGGTTAAGTAAGTCTAATCAAAATACAGCAAATGGCTACTATTAATCCGGTTTAAACAGTATTAATATTCATAGTTCAGGTTAATACAAAAAAGTCTCACTGATAATAGACAATATTACAGACACTTCCTAGCATCTACCCTTTTCTTTGGTGGTGTCCTCACCCTTCCAGAGACCCGCTGGGTCATAAGGTCAACACCTCAGGCTTCATCTAGCAAAAGGTGGGGAAAAGTACAAGGAGTTGTTGGCACCCTGAATTCTTTGCTGGTAGAGGTATGATGGTGGTGGTGGCTTCTTCCGGCTTAGTGCTGAGTCTGCTTGGGCTTATTCGTGTATTTGTTCTTAACAGTCTGCTTAGGTGCTGCTTCTGCTTACCTGCTCTTTCCCATCACTGGTTCCCAATTATCCAGTATTTCTATTCTCTTTGTTATCTCTAAAACTGGTTTTACCTGATTCACAAGGTTGCACCCCTGTAGTGACCAGTAATTGACCATTGTGATTTGTCTTTACAGCCTGGGACTTCTGCTGTTTGCACTCTATGCCTGCGCTCATCCATACGACGTTTTATTCTAGAGTCACAGAAATTCAGCCCACACAGAATAACTACTTGTTATTACTGTAACTAAAGCTAGACAAATTTGGGCGATGGTTACCTGATGCTTGACAACTGCTATCACAGTTAAACAAGCTAAAGTCCAGACAAGTCCCAAGTCAATGCAAAGCCTGTGGCCTTTTACTAGTAACGTCAAAAATCGTATTTGCTGGCTGCAATGGAACGATGCAGGGAGGGACTGCTGTCAGGATAAATGACTGTAGAAGCTTTCCTGTCTTGGATGCAAGTGGGTTATACACCTGCACCATGGCCACACCTGTAGTCTCAGGGAGTCAGAATTTCTGGCCGATGTGGCTGGTGGATCTCGCTCTGTGGCACTTACTCCTGCTCCCTCTGCCAATATGGATGCAGCACTGGGCATCTTTACACCTCCAGATCACTGCATGGTGGCTCACAGCCGTAAGTGACTGTGTGGTTTACTGTGGCCCTGTATCCACGCTCGGTATTTGACGGTGGTCATAGCAGGACCCAAGGATGATCTGATGATCACCATCGGGCAACTGCTCAGAGCACTCTGTGGCTCCTATTTGTTTTTCCTGGGTTTTCTTTGCAAGGAAACCAGATTCAGGGGGAAGGGGCCCGTACCGATCTTTTGTCTCAACGTGAAGCAAGGCTGCACACCCAGACCTGGCAGCCGGGAAGCACTCCCAGTTCTGTAATCTAGATGCATCTTCTTTGTCCATCTCTCTTAGAAACCTCACTTGCTTAACTGAAGAAAACATGCTTGTTCTGTGTTTCTTACAGAAAACAGTGCGCAAAGGAGATGAATGCATCCTGAAGGACAACAATGAGCGCAGCAAGTGGCTGGTGACTGGCCCTGGAGGAGTCGATATGCTGGTGCCATCCGTTAGTCTTATCATCCCTCCCCCCAATCCGTTAGCAGTGGATCTTGCTACCAAGTGAGTTGCCTGGGTTTCTGAAATTACACCTACCACTGAGAATAGATGGAAGAGTTTGCTCAAAATAGCAGCCAACCACAAAACTTGGTCAGTGCGTTGAGTGGAGCGCCCCCGACCCTTGTAGGGTGGGGGATTACAGATTAGCCTCTTGACTTGAGGAAATTCACTGCAGTGAAATTTGCTAGGACCTAGGCTGGAATCTTAGAACATTTAAAACTCAGGTTTTATAAGGTTTTTCTCATCTCTAATAATGTCTCCTGCCTAGAAGCTGTACCTAACTGATGTGGGTTAGGATAGGCACTAAGCTGTTGTAAATGTGCAGGGGATCTGCTTGTCGCTAATAGCTCTAGGAGTGCACTTGCCACAGCTGCTGTGTGGAAGGGAACACAGTGCAGAAAATCCCTGAACTAGCAGAGAGCTGAGCCAGGAGGGCCGCACAATGCCACAAGCTTAAGAGCTTGGATGGGAAAACAGTGGGTCTGTCATATGCTGCTGCCTCTGTACTTGCTACGTAGGTCACACTATGTTGTGCAAATACGCTGAATTTGCTTATAGGTGTGAGCTGGTTTGTGTGGAGATGGCTCAGGAGTCCTTGCGCTCGTGCCACAGACATGTCCCGAGTACTTCGAAAGTGTGAGCTTGGTCGGAAAGAGCCCGTTTATCTTTTAGCTAACACTTTTTGTTGCCTTTTGCTAGGTTGAATTACATGCTTAAAATTACTTCAGGCTACCCTGTGAGAAGAAAAGAATTTGAGTTTGTTCTTTTCCTTTACCACTATAGAAAAAAGGTTTCCTCTTGTTAGCAGTACCACCTGTGCTCAAAGCAAAATACTGGAGTTTGGAATTTCAGCTCAAAGCGTTTAGAAATTTGTTGGTATACTACTTGTTCACTTGAAAGTTATGGATAAATTTGTTTGTAGGATATTTTCTAGTGGAAAAAAGTCTTAACATTCTCCACGTTTAGTGGATATTTGTTAGGGTGTTTTGCAGCTGTGCTACATGAAAGACATGCAGGTTTTGGCCACAAAATTTTGTTTTTCCATCTTAGGATTGAGCAGTACTATGAAGCTATTCTAGCTTTGTGGAACCAGCTTTATATCAACATGAAGAGCTTGGTATCCTGGCATTATTGCATGATTGACATTGAGAAAATCAGAGCAATGACTATTGCCAAGGTAAGACTCTGACCTTAACTGTAGACTAGGGACATCCATAACCTGGTCTCTGGTGTCCCAAAGAGTGCTTGCTGTGTCCTGTTAAGGTATATGTTCTCCAGAACCATGGGCCTTCCTTTTGCTGGATTGCACAAGCAATTACATTTTGTTAAAGGAGAGCCCAAATGCTGTCCCATTTGGACGTGATATGGACAAATTGCAAGATTAGCTAAGGAGATTTATTACATACTTGTTGTAATAGTTCCCGCTACACAAGGGCACGGATAGACAGCATAAGGATGTGGAGCTGCAAACTGTTCTTAAGTTGTGAAATTTTTACCACAGAAGTAGATTAGTTTGCAGGGCACTTTTCAGACCGATCTTGTACAAGCATCCTGGGTAGGTTTTATTCTAAAAAATGCTTGTTCTGCTTTTCTACAGTTGTATTAGTATGTTCCCTGTGATTCCAGTTGCTTCCTTTTTCAACGCTCTCTTTTTCCTTATTTCAGCTGAAAACAATGCGTAAGGAGGACTACCAAAAAATAATAACTGACCTGGAGATCCATTACCAAGAATTCCTCAGGAACAGCCAGGGCTCAGAGATGTTTGGTGATGAAGACAAACGAAAGATCCAGACTCAGTTCACTGATGCCCAGAAACACTATCAAACCTTGATTATACAGCTGCCCAATCAACCACGGCCACCACAAATAGGTTTGTTGTACTCCTGTGTTTTGTGTTGGTTGTACTGTTTGAGTTTCTTTGTTCGGGAGTATGTGGGTTTTTTATGTGGAAACGATCAGGAAGTTTAAACTGTCTGTCTGCTAAATCTCCTCTATGCTGGAAAAGAAACATCTCGCTGAAGTCCGTTGGCATTGGACTGAGCCTTCTGGAGACCAGCGAGTACTGAAAGTACTCCTCAGAAACACATCCAAGAATTGTAATTGCTGTCTCCCAAGATAATAAAACTGACTGCCGCTGGTTTGAATCTGGGGATACGCCTCTGAAATTTGTGGAACTTGCCGGGGAAGTAGGAGAGGAATTTAGTCCATCTGATACGTTTTCCGTTATTAGGAAGCAAAATATCACTGCTGCATTTGGGGAAGCAAGTTTCTCTTTTTGTGAAGGGGAGATTTCATGACCTGAAACAGCTGCATAAGAAACCATATGTTCCACTTGTTCTTAGTTCTACAAATCAAATCAGTGCTAAGGTCATTTTGACGTTGCATTGGCTTTCCTTACGGAGGAGGTTGGTTCTTTGACTGTTGATGTTTGCCCAGTAGTTACCTCCTAATTTTTACAGTGTGAAAATTTTAAAATTTTGCATTTTACAGTGGTCCCAACTGAGACCTGTCCTGTGGGTTCCTCAAACACCATTATAGTTAATGACAGAAACCGAGAACATGAGAAGCAGGAGGCCTGGCTGCTGATGGAGCTTCAGAAACTTCGACGTCAGATTGAAGCTTGTGAGATTCGGATGGTTCAAAGAGCTCCTCTTGGAATGGATCAGGGGGCCCTGCATGACTTTTCAGTTAGATTAAAGGATTTAGAGGTAAGCATGAACGTTTTCATTGAGCTTCTTGAACTCGGCATGACTGTATCCTGCAGAGCAGGCTGATTACTGATCAGCTGTGAAAGCCTTGTTCTTTCCTTTATGTGGTTGATCAGCATATGTTTTTCAGTTGGAAGCTAACTGTGATGATTTGGATTGGAGTTTAGCTCCTCCTTTGGGGGCCTAAATTGAAAAAAGTTGACTCTTTATGGACATTAGAAAAAGAATTCTGACAGGCTAAGAATACAGAAGGCCTGATGTCAAGTGGACATGAGCTCATGTTAAGCCTCATCCAAGTTAAAGCACTGTTAACATCCTTCTGCACAGACCCCACTTCACCACCCAGCATTGAAGTGCTGTCTGGGATGAGGACTGGATGCATGAGGCCTATATGCTCTCTTCCCCCTCCCAGCACTAGAAGTTTGAAGGGGACTGGAAAGAGAAAATTGATAAGAAAAGAGAACAGATTCAGTATGTGAGAGTGAAATTCCCATGGAGCAATGAGGCTGCAAAGGTCTTCAGAGCAGAAGGACCTTGGCACTTGCACTGTGCGGAGTAGGCAGCTAGCAGTAAAGCGCCCTGTGGCCTGCTTTCTGCAGAGCTGAGTTTCACAGGGCCCGGAATGGGAAAGCTGTTCGGATAGGAGATATTGCCATTGTGGACTATGCACGAAAGAAACCACTGAATGTTACTAATCTCTTCTTGAAGAAAGCAAGTCAAAGCACTGCTTCCGTCCTCAGTTGAGCTGCTTAGATAATAGCAGATGATTTGGATAGAGAGACCAATAGCATACGTGCAGCAGAATGATCGTTCAGCCACCAAAATGTGTAAATCAGGCATTCTCTTTCCTTAGGGTGTGCAGAATGACTCTCAAATAATGGCTGAAACCCTCAATAAGCATAAGGACTTGCTGCCTAACTTCAGAGGCTCTGAAAAATATGTGTACTTGCAGTCAGAGATAAACGCCCTGTTTCAAAAACTGGAAAATATTAATGGTGTGTCTGCTGGCTACTTGGACAGGTAAGAAAATCAAGGTTTTGGCAATAAGTCATTTACTTTCTGCCATAATTCTTAGTCCAGAAACTTGCCTTTTGTTATCAGTAGCATGAAATTACATCCTCTTTTCCACAAATGTTGCCCATGTGGGTAGAAACAAACATCTATGTGAATTTCTTCTGTTGGAAAGATTGTTTAAAAAAAAAAAAAAAACGAACGTGAGCATCATGGGAATAGCTGAATTTTCTTTTATATTGCCAGTTCTTTGCTCATCCACAACGGATTATAAACAGCGCATTTGCTGCCTCAGTTCTTAATGGATTTGTCTTTTATTACATTATTTATCGTAGCTTGAATGCACTGAGGTGTCTGCTTCAGGTCATTCTGCAAACAGAAGATGTGATCAGAGTTTTTGAAGTCAGACTGTCTGAGGAGGAGACTGTTCCTTTGGATCTTGATAAAGTGGAGGCTTATCGGGCCTGTCTGAAGGTGAGAGGCCGAGTCCCAAAGGCACAGCAGGGCAAAATTCTTTGCTGCCATCCCTAGTCTGTTGAGCTGGACGGAACCCTTGCAGAATCACCGGAGTTGAAGAGTTGATCCTGTTGTATTTTATAACATAGACGTACAATTGTTTCTGCAAATTATTAGAAGGAATGTACAGGTTACCTCTTTTTCCATCCCCTGGTTGTTGCTGCCCCCACAGCAAAGCCAGTGGAATGGTAGGTGAGAGCTCTCCATAATCCATGTTAGTACAAAATTAACTGTGTTTATTTGAGTCACTTTTGAAACTAAATTTGAAGGTGATGCCTCCTTTCTTGCAAAAAAAAAACCTTGTTAATTAACCGTAATGTTGTCTAGTTATAACAAGTTAAATTACAGTAGTATTCTGTGTCGTTTTCCTGGATGTTCCTTACCTGCATTGAGCAGGCCTGTTTGTGCACTGAGTGCCTTTGGTGAAATAGACCTCCTTTATTCTTGCCTGCTCTCAGATATAAGAGGGGAAAGGCACAAAAAGGGTGGCACAAATGGAGCACAACCAGGTTACCTCTTTATCATGTTTAGTGAGAGCTGTGGTTTCAGTTGTTGGGAGTTATTTTGCTAGAGTAAGTCTGAGCAAGACAAAACGTGCTTGAGCTTGTTATCAAAGGACGCAGTCATCCCTGTGACAGGGAATGCAAGAAGGGAGAGCTCTACCTGCGCTGTGTGCCATTTCATGATACCCCATAGTGTGTGTGCATATGTGCATGTGGACCCACACACACACGTGTGTGTGTGTGTGTAGAGCAACATCTCTGTCGAAGACGTTTATAAAAATGTAAACAACCCCCCCACCTCGGGTAATTGGTATAATTCTCTAGATAAAATTTAAAAACTGTATATGACAGTCCTGTGGCTTGATCCTAGAGCTGTTGGAAGTGCAGGAAGCTTTTTGACTTCGATGGCATTTTTTAGTCAGTCATAGGTCTGAGAAACTGAAATGTTAGCCACAGAATATGAGAGCAGAGGGCTTTGGTTCAGCAAATTACGTAGGAATAAGTCTGACTGTGAATACGTTCTTCAATCTATCCCTGTTGCCAAAGTATATGTTTCACTTTATGTATGTTTAAATCCAGCTGACATCAGCATGCATACTTTGATGAATTAGAAACAAGATGTTTAGATCCTTGTGCATGCTGTTGATGGTGAAATTTTTTACCCTCTAAAGAATAAAATATATGACACCATTTTGATTTTCCTCCAGAAAATGAAATCAGACCTAAGCATGAAAAAGTCACTGTTGAATACCCTGGAAAATGAACTACAGAAAACACATCAGATCCACTCACAATCTTGCCAGTCATATGCCCTGTATGATATGGACATTGGAAAGTTTTCTGACAAAGTTATCCAACTAATAGATCGCTGGCAGAGAGCTGAGAAACAGATAGATAACAGGTTAGTATGAATTTCCTAATAGCTTTTTTCTTATTGCTGTTGCTACTGAGATCATCTAACAGTAAATCTAAAAGAAAAGTATTGTTGTAATGTAACCAGTCCTCTGGAAGTGATGGTTCAGAAATGATGATCTCATGGCAATGAGACTATTAACTGTAAATAGCAACTGTGAATATATTGAACATACATACTTCAAAAGGGATTGTGTAAGACTGATCAAGAAATGAAGTGTTTCGTGTAAGTACATAACCTATGAGCTAAGGAATTCTTTTAAGATTTTTTTTTATTCTTGCTGATGCTCTTGAATTAAGTACTTCCAGCCAGCGTTTTGCTCCTCGAACAAAGCAAACATGTTTATTCCTTAATACCCTTTACCTGATGGGTAAAAAAAACACAAAAAATTAAGCATACAGTAAATCAAATGTTTTTAATGCTTTAATGAACTAAAGGCATATTCTACTACTTTTTTACTTCACTCCAAAATCTAGTCCTAATGATAAAAAATTGACTGGTTTCTGCTTGATTTGGTGAAAATTGTGAATAAAGTGTACTGAAGTCAGTGGTCTTGTTTCCTGTTGCATGCAGAGTTTTACCCATCCTTCAGGCGACAGGAGGTTTGCCAACCTCCCTATGTTGCATACTTGCTCAAAAGTGAGGCACTAAAAACCCATATTGGGTGACTGGTAACTAGTACGATTCCCTTTACTGAAAAGTTTTATTCAGAATCTCGTTTTAGAGCCACCATTGTTTTACTTAGTTTATTACTGTGTTAATCAAGGAGTCTTATTTCTAAACAAATGTTTCGAAAGAGAGAAAGAATGCACTTTACATTTTGACAGTTTTCCCTGATTTTTATAGATCCTGGGATTTAGAAAGGCAGATCAAACAGCTGAAAACTTACCGAGACCTATACCAGGCTCTGAGCAAATGGGTCTGTGATGCCAAGCGCAGGCAGGATTCCATTGAGTCCACGAAGCTGTGTGATTGCAACACCATCATGAGATACCTACATGAACAGAAGGTATGCAGCACCTGGCAGTTGCCCTCAATTAATTGGATTTTAAATAGCTTTACTATTCAGAAAATATCTGTACACATGCAATCTGCAATGCAGTGTCCTGATTTGAGTTATAAAATACTCAAAAAAAAAAAAAAAAAAAAAAAGCATTGCACGTGTAGAAGGCAAGAGAGAGGAAGTATTATTATCCTCATTACTTTTTGATGGTACTGCTACAGACGATGAGCAAGACCCTGTTTGGCTCCTACCCAGTGACTGGCACTCTTACCCATCAGCTTTGAGTTAATCGGAGGAACTCTATGATGTTATGGGACAAATTATAGCACAGGAATAAAAATAAAGAGAGAGTAAATACATCTAAGCTAAAGTCAAGCAACTGTCCTGCCCCAGCTCTGGCAGTTGTTCAGTTGCTAAGCATTTCTTACTCAGAAAAATCTTCTCATACACAGAGAGCTTGCCTTTTTTAAAGACTGCACAGCTACAGGTCCTTTCAGGTCTAGGCCTCTGGGGTTGCAGTGGTCCCATACTGCAGACTCCTTCTGATGGAAGCAGTATGTAGAGGAGGAAGTACTGGCAAATCTGATGCAGTGCTTCACAGCTCACATTTTTCTTGACAGAACTTGCACAGCGAAATCTGTGGGAAGCGAGACAAAGTTGAGGAGCTTCTCAAGCATGCAGATCAGTGCTCGGCTGCAATTAAGGTACTTGTATTTCGGTGTTCTTACAGGACATGTTTTTCACGGTGGGGCATATCCCATTGCCTCTGCTCTGCTGGTGGGTGAAACGTCAGCTCCCTGTTGTGTGCGTGCAGAAATTGCTGGCGTGAAGCGCTGGTGTGTAATGAAAGCAATTTTTATACTTGCCACTTGAGTACCGCAGGATGATGCAGGAGATGCCAGTGAGAACTTCTCTTCAGGAGAATCAAAGCCTCCTTTTAGCTGGTGCAACAATTGCATTTCACATGTTAAAAATAAGGAAGTAGAGAACAGATTGGTAGCTGAGGAGGTAGGACTGATTAGGTCTAGGAAGCAAGACCAGTGCAGATTAGCAGGAGGAATGGCATTCAGTAGCCATGAAAACCAAGATACACAGGAGATGGTTTTGTGGTCTTTAGATTTCTGTGTAGCCTTTATCTCCATGCTTTTTCCAGCTCCTCTTACTCCCTGTGACAAAGATTTTGCTATGGCTGGCATGGCATATATGGCATGAAAAAGATAAGAAGAAAGTTATTTCTGGTAACATTTTGGTTGATAATAGTATCTAGATCAGTTACTCTCATGAATCCTTCTACCTCCCCATAGCCCTCAGCTAACAGAAACACATATCTCCCTGTTT